GGAGAATAGGTTCACCCCTTTCTTTGTGGCAGCCCATTATATATTGGAAAACTGGTATCATGTCACCTCTAGTCCTTCATTCATCAAACTAGACATACCAAATTCCAACAACCATTCTTTATATGTTTTAGCCTCCAGTCCCCTAATCATTTTTGTTGGTCTTTTCTGCACTTGTTCATCATCTCTTTTATGTTGTGGTGACAAAAACTGGATGCAACATTCCAAATTATAGAAGAATAGACAAACAAGTTTTAATTATTATTCATAACTTTCAAGTTGTATAAGAAATATTGAAAATTATTTGACTATAATATTTAATCCGTTTCATCCACTTAATTATCATATGTCACATAAGAAAGCAGTTTGTTGATATTCTACTGAAATCAAGTTATTTCACCACCATTCTCACAATCTACTAAGGAAGAGAAGTGATATATGAGAATCACCTTGGGAGTGGGGGGGGGAGTAAGAGAAGCTCCCTAAAAAATTATTAGAAAAAAGAAAGGGATTCCACAGCTGGATCAAGGGCAGAGAAAGAAACTCATAAAAGATCACCCCTAACTTTTAAGGCTTTTAAAAGAGTTGGTAGAAGACTTGTTCTTTCAAACTTGCAAGATTCTGTTAATGTAGCCTTACAATGAAGACAAATTAGCTCATGGTTGGCTTGGGTTTCCCATCTTCTAAGTTGGAGAAGATTAGCTTGGCAACTTTCTTCTTGTCAAATCTAAGCATTCTTGAAATCATCCAAAACATTTAAGAATAATCTCTTCATTTGTTTATTTCTTAATTGTATTTTGTTTGCTCTAGAATGTTCCCTACAACTAAGAAATATTATCAATTTTATATTTTGTTAATGCTGTATATGATAAATTTTGTGCAACCTTTCTTTTTCATTTTTGAAAATAGTGGTAACCCTTGTTTCCCAACTAAGAATATTTGCAAATTAGAGAAGTGTAGAATATATGATCGACAAGTTTTGCTGAAACTTTTTCACTCAGTTATGCAGGTAATGGTAATACTTTTTGTCAGAATCAAAAATATTTGGAAGTTAGACAAGTGTAGAAGAAAGGTTGTAAATATGAAAAGACCATGTTGGTTTAGATAGAAAGGTTTTTGCTTTTATAATGGCTGGATGTTTCCATTCTAGCTTCATCCCTTTCTGCAGAAGAATGAATTTTGCAATCTTTCTGAGATGAAACTGTACTTGGACCAACATGGAGATCTGGCAGCAGATCTGAACATACTGAGTTGGGTGATTATCCCCGAAGAGGATTGTATGGAAGAACAACTGGGTAGTTTTGAAAGGCAGAGACTTATTATTGACCAATATGTTCTTTTACTACTAAAGTGGCTCAACAAGGTGGGTGAAATATTGGCATCTTTTTTCTCTTTTCCAAAAGAGTGGCCATTTCAAGTGGGCTAAGCCTAGTCAGAAATTCATTGAGAATGTTATGTGTGGACAAAAGCATTTATCATTTCCTTAGATGGATAGGGAGGCTTCAGAAACACTTCAAGTCAAGGTGTATTTCAGAATCTGTAATATGGAACATTGTTTTAAGCTGATTCAGCTACATCCAGATTGAACTATTGAGTGATTATTATTTAGGATAAAATTGGTGAGAGAGGCCCTCAAGTGCTAGGTATTATGGGGTTGATAGCCTCAAGCTTGTTTGTTCCTTGTCCAGAAACAGCAAAGCAAAAGACAGTCCTGTTGACTAATGCTTGGGTTCCAGTTTGGAGTGAGCCTGGTAAAAAAAGAGTCAAAATTGAATGGAGGTTCTGCTTGATCCAGTGGAACTAACTCTTGGCATTACAATTCAGCTTGTCCTGGTTGGGGGACAGTGTCTCTTGAAAGGGAAGCCCATATTGTGGGAAGTTTTTAAACAGGCCAGAGCTGACCAAAGCTATCCATGCTTCTCTTTCATCCAACTGGGATAGAGCAACAGGTCTTCTGCTCCTAGAAGGCAGTCTAAGGCTTTCAATAAAATTTAATCTGAGATCATCTTACTTTAAAATCATGGATATATGAAAAGTGGAGGAATACATGTTAATATGGCCATGAGGACAAACCCATTGATAATGGAATGGAATGGAATAGAATAGAATAGAATAGAATAGAATAGAATATTATTTATTGGCCAAGTGTGATTGGCTGCACAAGGAATTTGTCTCTGCTGCATAAACTGTCAGTGTACATAAAACAACAAAGTGATAAATCATAAGATACCAATATGAGAAGGTGATGGAAAAGATGATAAGGATAATAGTAATGCTGTCCTACTTCATGATTAAATATCCTTAAGCATAAGACAGCACTTTGAGAATTAGTTGTTTAGAAAAGTGATGACATGGTGTGGGGGAGAACTGTCTGTGTCTGGTTATTTTGACATTCAATGCCCTGTAGTAGCATCCTAAATGGAGAAGTTGGAACAGTTTATGTCCACAATTTAAGAGGTCTGTAGATATTTTCTCAGCTCTTTCCAACCTGTGCAGTATAGCAGGTCCTTAGTGAAAGGCAGGCTGGTTGCAACTATTCCTTTTCCTCAGTCCTAAGTACGTGTTGAAGTCCTGTTTCATTGATGTACCAACCAAATTATGGAAATACAAATTACAGACTCAATACTTCCTCTGTAGAATAGTACCAGCAGCTTCTTGGGCATTCTGAATTTCTGAGTTGATACAGGAAAAAAAACATTTACTTAATGCTAAATCTTTTCTCAATTCCATCTCTTCAAACTTTATTAAGTAGAAAAGTCCTTTACTGCAGGATGATATTCCAGAAGGAAAAACAAGGGACTAAAAGAAGAATCTGGCAGTAGTTCTATCTCCTACAATGTTTGGAACTAGTTAGAAATTTCATTGCACTGAGCTTCTTTTCTTGTTGGTTTGTAAGGGTTTACTGTTTATCTGAGTGACTTCTTCAATATGAGCAACTTGATTAGGTATATGTCTTCTAGGGTAGTTTCATATTATTCTCTAATTTCACCTAATCTGAATAGACTCACTGTTAGATGACTGAATATCTTTACCATCATTTAGAAATTTTATATTTACCTAAGTGCAGCCCAGAGAATGCTTGGCTGATGTTCATGTTGACCTCCATTTTGATGGGTGGTGAGACCTGACACATTTTCTTTGGTTTTCCTTGTTTTACTGCTTAGTCTCTGCCTCAGTCAAAATGTGTAGAAAAATGTTATCCTGGATTTGTCAAGCAGGCTCGAGAAGGAGAGCCAGTATGCTGCTATGACTGTGTTCCTTGTCCGGAAGGGACCATCTCCACTCAGGAAGGTGGGTGTTAACCAGAGAAAAGGGCAGTTCTGACCTAGGCTTCCTGAGACAGTATAAATCACATGCTTAGTCCCCCAAACCCTCTTTTTATTTCAATGGCTATAAATTATGTTCATTCACAGCCTGTAATGATTCACAAACAGTCTGTAAAGAGTCCTACAGATATCTGCCACAGTCTTTTAGGGTAGTGATGATAAGCACCAGGGGTGGGTTTCAACCGGATCGCACCGGTCCCTGCGATCCGGTTGGTCGCCGAACCCGGAAGTAAGTAACTTCCGGGAACGGCGAAGGCCCCCCCCCGCGCGCGCGCACCCGCACACCCGCGCCCGCTCCTTACCCGGTTTTTACGAATTCTGTGCTTCCACGCATGCGCAGAACGCATACAGCGCCTGCGCGATCCTCCAGGAGCAGCTGAAGCATCGCGCAGATGCTAGTATGCACGCGCGCGCTGCGTGCGTGCGCGAGGACGCCACGCGCACGCGCAAGGACGCCACCAGCCTCGTTCCAACCGAACCGAACCGGTTGGAACGGGGCGAGAAACCCACCCCTGATAAGCACCCACCTTTATCTCCCTTGAAACTCTGCCAGAGACCTTATTGCTAATTAGTTTTGCAAAGCCAAATGGAGCACAGAATCAAATAGAGCTTCTCAGAGTTTGAACCGACCAGAATGAACAAAGTTGCTTCCTGCAAAGGCTCACATCTATTTGCTCCTCTTTTCTGTCCTATGGGAGGAGCCAATCATCTCCAAGCCTTATTCCTGAGTTGCCCTTTTTGTCTTAATTGTTCTTGCTTTCTGGAAGCTCTGCACATGCATACAATGGGAATAGGCTCCCCTGTCCTTCCTCCTCACTCTTTCTGGGGACATATAAGTTATTTGAAACTTGAGGAATTGTTATAGGCCCACCTCTTGGAAGGATTGTTGCAATATGGGTGTTTACTTGAGGACCCAGACTGTTGGGGGCAGTATGCCTACTTTGTAAACCACTTAGAGAGGGCTGTACAGCACTCTGAAGTGGTATGTAAATCTAAGTGCTATTGATATTGGTATTGCTACTTGATGTTCACTGAGAAGCTGAAGAGATGTTAACAGTTATTGGATATAGGTCATTACATGATTATTACCAAAGCTCCCAGTAGCCATTCCAGATTATTTGTAGGACTAGCTGTCTCTGCCAGCCAAATAGATTTCACAAAATTTGCATTCTGTGAGTCAAGTGCATCATGATATGCCATCTGGCAGGACCCAAGAATTTTCCCTGGAAAGATTTATTCTTTTTTTTTAAACAACTAATAATGTAGATTCATATTATGCAGGAAATCATTTGGGTCCCCATTCAATTTGCTAGTATTGTAGATATTTTTTAAAGAAAATGGTATTACTCTTACGTTCTTTCTCTGGAGATCTTCAGAAATGCAATTTGGAAAATACCCCAACTAAAAATTGTTGTGTGAAGAATGTATTTTGTTGAAAAGTGAAATGCTAGAATATTAAAATAATATTCCTTTTTGGTTTTCTCAGATACAGAAAAATGCACCAAGTGTCCAGATGATAAATATCCAAATGAGGATCAAGTCGATTGTATACCTAAATTTATAACATTCCTATCTTATGAAGAACATCTGGGCACTATCCTGGTCTGTTTTGCCTTATTCCTCTTCCTAACCACAAGTCTTGTTTTAATCATATTCATTAAATACCGAGAAACTCCCATTGTCAAAGCCAACAACCGGGACCTCTCCTACATCCTCCTGGTCTCCCTCCTACTTTGCTTCTTGTCTCCCTTTCTCTTCTTTGGTCAGCCAAGAAAGGCCACCTGCCTTCTCCAACAAGCAGTTTTCAGCATCATCTTCTCAATTGCCATTTCTTCTCTTTTGGCAAAAACGATCATGGTGGTGCTGGCTTTCCTGGCCACAAAACCAGGAAACGGAGTGAAGAAATGGTTGGGAAAGAGCTTAGCCAATTCCATCATCTTTTCTTGTTCTGCTGTCCAAATTATCATCTGTTCCACCTGGCTGGGAGTTTCTCCCCCATTTCCTGATTCTGACTTTCACTCCCAGCCTGGAGAGATCATCCTGCAATGCAATGAAGGGTCTGCTGTCATGTTCTACATCACTCTCAGCTACCTGGGTTTTCTGGCTTCCATCTGTTTCATGGTGGCTTTCCTAGCCAGAAATCTACCTGGGGCTTTCAATGAGGCTAAGCTGATTACCTTCAGTATGCTGGTCTTCTGCAGTGTGTGGGTGACCTTTGTGCCCACTTACTTAAGCACCAAAGGGAAATATATGGTGGCTGTTCAAATATTCTCCATCCTGACCTCCAATGCTGGTCTGCTGAGCTGCATCTTCATCCCCAAGTGCTACATTGTCATTCTGAGGCCAGACCTGAATACAAAGGAACAGCTTACAACTAGAAGAAATGTAGAAATATGAAACATGGGACATAGAAACATAGATGGACAGGAAAGTGAACTAAAGCTTGCTAATAGTGAAGATTCATGCTTATATAAAATTAAATATGCATATCTACAATTACCATCTTATCTTCCTTTCCTGAAATGTAGAAATATGAGTATTTAAAAAAGGTTAAATCATGGCAACTGGACCAAAATTTGTTTATACTGATATATTTTGTTATTCACCTGGTTCACCGACAAATGTGCGCTCAACAAAAGCGCGCTGACAAAACCACGGTGAGAAAAGAGCAAGGTCGAAATCGTGCCCACAGAAGCACACCGATAAATGTGCACTGATGAAAGCACGTCATCAAGAAACAATGCGAAAACAACATAAGAACGCTAACCCTAACCCTAACTCTAACCCTTACCTTAACCCTAATCGCACTTTCATCAGCACGCATTTATTGGTGCCCTTCTGTAGGCACGATTTTGACCTCGCTCTTTTCTCGCCGCAGTTTTGTTGGTACGCTTTTGTCGGGCGCACATTTGATGGGTCACATATTCACCCAAGTAACTTCTTCAGTCAAAATAAATTTTGTTAGGCAGAGTGTCAGAAAATCATTGGAATGTACTAACTCTTGCCACACCAACTGTAGGAATTTCTCCCAAAAAATGTATTTCAAAATGTAAATGAAGACTCAATCACCCAGGCCAAAAGAATGGTTTAATTTTTCTAGATACTTTTGGCCTAAACATTTGAGTCTTCATTTACATTTTGAAATACATTTTTTGGGAGAAATTCCTACAGTTGGTGTGGCAAGAGTTAGTACATTCCAATGATTTTCTGACACTCTGCCTA